AAAATGGTTTAAATTAACACATATCACAGAAGTAAATGTTCCAGTATATGGGGCGTAGTGTAGTACAGGGTACATGGTGCAATGGTGACAGGTATATTAGTGCAAGCTCTTATCAAGCTCTGGTCAAAAGCTGTTACTATAAACTTGCACTGTTCTCACTTAAGTAGCCATTCTGATAAGGTTGTCGTATCATTATTTAATAAAGGTCAAACTACTGACCCCCTTTTTGAGTGTAGCTTGATGCTGGTACCTTGATATAACTGTTCTGACAGGTCCCAGTGTTGTCTGGAATCTGGAAATCACTGTTGAAGCTCATCTGCAGATGGTTTCCCTCATGAGCAATGATCTGCCAAGAACATTCAACATTGGCAGGGAAGTTCTGAGGATAGTTTGGAGACTTGATTGTTCCAGAATCAGCATGGATCACCCCTCCACACCCTGGCCGAAAACAAATAGATGTGATTGTGTAAATCCATGAGTAAAATGATCACAAGTAAGATTTAAAAGTTTGACAAGCAGTAATCACTTTGTTCCAAAAACACAGGCTCTCTAGTGGTTCCAAGGGTCTGTAAGAGTAGAACAGGAGGTAGAGCATTCAGTTACCAGGCTCCTCTCCTGTGGAGCCAGCTCCCACTCTGGGTTCAGGAGGCAGACACCATCTCTGCATTTAAAGTTAAACTTTAAACATTCCTTTTTGATAAAGCCTATAGTTAGTTCTGGATCAGGTGAGCCCTGCACCATCCCTTAGTTATGCTGCTATAGGTCTAGGTTTTTTCTCCCATAGTCCCTCTCTCTCTTTCTCTCATTGCAGATATCTCTGACTCCAGAACTGCAGGAGAAACTATCATTATTCTAATGATTATTATTAACAATAAAACTCAGGCATTAATTATTATATGAATTTTTGCTAATCAATAACTTCTTTACACTGTTACTCAGAGCTGATGTCTGAGGTGCTCAAGTGTTCCCGGTCTCTCTCAACTCTCTCTCCCTCTCCTGAATTGAATTAATCTCCTCATGTGTGTATGTCAGGGAAAGAACACGTACAAGCATGTTTATTTAGTCGGTGTTAACTCACCTGACGAGTCAGCCGACCAGGAGGCTATAAAGCCCCCTTTGGACACGCTGTGGTCTGCTAGAAAGACGACAGCAAGTTTGTTGGATCCTGACTGTATGGTTCCTGGGGAGGTGTTCCCACAGTACTGGCCAATAACAGGGGAGCCAGGGGATCCTCCATTGAAGATGGTGACAGAGTCCCAACCACATGTAGAGTGGGGCTCCAAGTTGAAGTAGCTGAAGGTTAGCTGCAGTAATACAATGGAGCAGGGATTATTAATATAATAATTATTGATAATAATAATAATATAATACAATTCAGTTCATTAGCACCATTTACCTAAATATAGTCTAATCCATACATTTTTTTTTGTGCTTTGTTATTCAGGTACACATCCATAAAATAAAGTTATTTGCTTAGTTGATTCATTGGATATAATTGATGCTGGTTGAGATCTTCTGTTGTTATGTAAGTGTCACAATGAAAGCAAATATAAGAAATAATGTTTAAACAAAGAACAGTCAGTATGTCATTGTACATTTTCTTTTTGACAGGTGGTACAAACTCACTGTAATGGTGTGGCCCACTGGAGCCTCTAGTAGCCAAGCACAGCGACTGGGGCTGGGGTAGATACTGGGGTAGTTAGGACTGGATAACACCCCTCCCTCACCTGACTGCCACCCTCCACATTCTGCAGAGAGATTGATTCATATAATTCTTTTAGAGTGTGATTTGTGAAAAAATCTGCAGGGGGGGGGGGGGTAATTTATTTGTATTCATTAACCAATAGCCTAAATGAAGCATTTTAGGCTATCCCTTGCTGTTGTTTTAACATTTAACATGTTGGAATTTGAACTTAACAATGCATTTTTCAGGAATATATGAATTAATTTATTAAATTACCAATATTTTCACTCAAAAACTAAAGGTTAACATACCAGAATTAAATGGTAAATGGTCAGTATTTATACAACCCTATCTAGTCTTGATGACCACCCAAAGCACTTTACCGTGCAGTTTTGCCATCCACCCATTCACACACACATTGATACAATGCTTCTATGTGCAGCACTTTGTTATACATCACTCATACACTGCCACTACTATAAAACTATAGTAGATATACAGTAGATATACCCTTTGGAAGATGAAGTTAATCAAGAATTAGCATCTTTCTTACCAGAGAACAAGTACTTGGCCTTGAAGCCCAAGTCTCCCTGGGAGGTATCACTCTGGAATTGGACCCAGAGTTCTGGTGTGAAGACCACAATGGGAATTATGGGGATGGTCTGCCCACAAAATGTGGCCAACAGCTCCCCATCTGAGTTACCTGAGGGAAGGTGTAGAAGGTTATACACAAATAAAATATAAAGACTGTAGAAGCCATCCGTTACTTCTAACCTATTCAACTACTGAGTCACTTAACAGTTTAGAATGTTCACAAAGATGATCTGGACTTGGATTGATGATTCCTTCTTAAAGAGTAAACCAACCAGTTACTATAATCCTTGGAGCTTTGCCTGTTCACCTCACCCTTTCTCTAAATCCAAACAAATGTTTACATCCTCTCTATATATACAACAAGACATCATGTAACTGGCTTAGTTAAAAAGTCAGACTGATCCTGTTTCCAGATCAGGCTATTAAGTCAAAAATCACAACACAGCAGTCTTCATTTGTTGTCTGTGCTTATGACTCATTTAGCTTCTGTACAGGGGTATCGACTGTTCATGTTATCACCTCAGCTGTGCATAACATAACTAATGGTAGCCATGCAGAGTGAGAGTGCAGGCTATACTTCTGCATTGGTCTTGGCTGAGAGTGAGTAATAAGTAATATTCATCAAGTGACTTATTCCCTCTACAGTGTGTAGTGTAAAAGTAATTTGTAAGAGGGATACATTATATACACAAACACACACACACACAGAGAGATTGAATGCACACTTTCAACCTATTTTAAAAAAGGACCAATCAATAAATTGATAATCACGTGCTGACGTATTGCGTATTGTGTCACTTCCGGTGTTAGCTACTGTGTGTTGTACCGGTCTCTTCTTCTCTTCGTCTCTCCCTTTTCCCTTTCACATCTTAATCATTTAAGCTAATTCTAACTTACTTTCATAGTTGTGCTGTCTTGACTTGTCGCTTGTACACCCCCTTGTCTCAGTGACTCGTTCATAAAATCACTGTGAGCTACACACTACCTGTGTTAGCTAAAGCAATTTAGCATTAGCAGTTAACGATGGCTTCTCCCTCTCACTCCCCTGCTCTCTCCTGCTCAGTGTGCTTGATGTACAGTTACTCCTCTGCCTCCTTTAGCGATAACGATACATGTGTTAAATGTAGCTTATTTGCCAGGATGGAGGCAAGGATGAACCTTTTAGAGTCGCGGCTCTGCACCATGGAGAGTAGATCGTGTAGCGATGTAGTTAGCCAGTCCCCAGTAGCCGGTGCGAGCCACATAGCTGTAGCTTCTGCAGCCCCCCCAGCAGCTCCCGAGCAGCCGGAAAGACAGGTGGGCTGGGTGACTGTGCGAAACAAGAAGCGTAGCCCTAAACCGAAGCCCCAGGTGCACCACCAACCCGTTCACGTGTCTAATAAATTTTCCCCACTCAGCGACACACCCGCTGAGCAACAAACTCTGGTTATTGGCGACTCTATTCTAAGGAACGTGAAGTTAGCGACACCAGCGACCACAGTTAAATGTAATCCCGGGGCCAGAGCGGGCGACGCAGAATCCTATTTAAAACTGCTGGCTAAGGGTAAGCGTAAATACAGTAAGATTATTATTCATGTTGGCAGTAATGACCTCCGACTACGTCAGTCGGAGATCACAAAAATCAATATTGATTCAGTGTGTACATATGCAAAGACAATGTCGGACTCCGTAATTTTCTCTGGACCCCTGCCTAATGTT